TTCACCTTTAGCCTCATTCTCATCATTTCAGAGAACCAATGGTATGGTAAACATTGAAACAGGAAGTTGACTACAGAAAGATAAAGTTGACAAACACAGATATACAGATATCTGCATGTTCAGCATGTACTGTAAAAATTGGGGCTGCAACTAATAATCTCGTGTTGGGGAATCTGGAACAAGTAACTATCTGGAGCTTTTGCTGGGAAATATCTTAATCAGTTCTCAAAGAGCTCTGTTAATTATTCAAAAAATTAACATGTGACATTTAAAAAAAAGCAAAAAAGCAAACGTGTGTGAAAGTTTAGCAGTAAGCTTTATGGTGTAAAAAGTGCATAGGTGCAACTTTTTGTCTGGTTATTTGTGCAAGTCAAACATTAGTTTTGTCTTTAACTCTTTGTCTCACTGTCAGGCAGAAATATTTATGAATCGGAATTTATCTCTGTGTTTCACGCGTTATTTCTTAAATGGGAAAGACTTCTTATGGAAATATTTTGTCACTTCTGGAAAATTGGAATACTCAAAGATCAATGAAAAATGACTTCATTGTGATATTCCGCTGTTTGATCACAAGAGGGCAGCACATAGTAAGTGGTACTGCTTGTGGCAGCATGAATAATGAAACTCTGCTTTCACAAGGGACTGCATTATGTGCTGTGAAGGGGGAACAGAATGTAAGAGCGATCCTGATTTCTAGAGTATTTGGCAACTGATGATGTTTCTAATTCTGTAATACACGTAATACACTTTATTTATATGTGTGCAGGTTAACTTGAACACACAGGCTCCCACAATTCTCAGAGTACCTCAGGTAAAGATGCAGAGACCACTTTGGGTTGCTGTATCTGAACCTTTAAATGGCACGGGGACAGAAGTCTGCCTGTGATAAATGTCTCTACAAATTTAATGTCTTAAGGCACTGTAAAGTATGTAATTAGGGGGTTATCTGTGAGTTTTGGCAGTTTACACCAGGTGCAGTTTTTAAGTATGAAAGAAAAGCAAATTTTAATAGTTGTGCAGTGGTGGTGTCCATCTTTCAGCTGGTGAAACTAAAGACGGGAGGAAATGGAAAGAGAGGCAGATGGAGAGCAGCAGACAGACATATCGATGGGGAAAAAGATAGCAAAGAGAATTTAAGAGGAAAAATAGCAAGAGTAGCGAAGAGATAGAAAGAAGGATGAAGAAAAGGAGGTGTGGGAAACAAAAGAAGTATCCCCTAGACAGCCGTTGCCCTAGCAACAGGCTTATACTGGTTGGTTGGCTGGTTGCTGGGCTGAAAGCAGGTTGACGGAGGCGGAGGCACAGATATGAGGTGACAGGTGGAGAGCAGCATACATATGTGCAGGCACCGGAATGGACAGCCCTCTACAGTGAATGGCCCGTTAGGAAGGACCCCTAATGAGGGGGAGATCAGGAAGCAAGCACATGGACTCGAAGCATTGTTCAGTTTGGTTCAAACATTTCTAACAGGGGAGGCATTTTCAATAAAATGGAATCTAGCTTCCATTCCTATATTCACTATTTAGTCACATCAAGTTTGTCTTATAAAACATGCTAAGAAATCCTAATTTGCATTGCAATATGTAATAGGTTTTAAAGCAGTAGTCCACAGTTATAGAAAATGACACAATGCATCTTCTGGTACTTTCAATCATTATTAATTTCTAAATGTTCTGTTCTCTTGAGAGTGAAAAATCTATAACTATACTCGCATAAACAAAGAAAAAGGATTTGTTCTGAGGGTTTGAGTGTAGGTTTAGTGTCAGGGCAATGTGGGTGTAGTGTAAATAAGAGGAGTTGTAGTCCGGGGTGGGAGCAGGCATGGAGGTGAGTTCCTCTGGGACACCAAACTTTGCTACTGAGGTCTCTGGAGGCTGTGTGGGCCAAGCACAGTAATAGAATTAGTTTATATTGTATGCTAAATTTTATGTACTGTAAAAAGTACACTGTTTTCCTGGTTCACACTTAGCAGCAACTTATGTCAGTCACAAATACCCC